GGGAGGGAGAGAAGGGATGGGAGAAGAATTAGGGAAGAAGGGAGGATGGAAGAAAAGGGAGGGAGGGAGGAAAGAGAGGGAGAGGAAGGAAGGAAGGAAAAGGGGAAGGGAGGGAGGGAGGGAGAGAAGGGATGGGAGAGGAATTAGGGAAGAAGGGAGGATGGAAGAAAAGGGAGGGAGGGAGGGAGGGAGAGGAAGGAAGGAAGGAAAAGGGAAGGGAAGGGAAGGGAAGGGAAGGGAAGGGAAGGAGTTCAGGGCCCATCGAAACACCTGACCCCCTCCACGACCTGCCGTCTCTCACAGATCCCAGCCCTCCTCCACTTCCGAGAAAGTCGGGCAGGGCCGCAGAAGAGCGTGGGGGGGCAGAGGGGGGGGCAGCTCTCCTAAGGTGAACCCAAAGGCAGGCCAGCCATTTCAGCAAGAAAGTTAGGAGGGAGCAGGCCGCTTTCGCTAACGTGGAGATTTCTGTTCCCTTCCTCCTTGCCACGACCACCAACCCCTCTTGCCCAGCAGAGCAACATCCCCGGAGCAGCTGGGTGGCCGTCGCCCCCACTCGAAGGAGCCCCCCTCGGACTGCTTCTGGAACGGCCGCATGCCGCGATAGGTGCCCGGCTATCGATCGGGGCAATTATTTCTCCCCCCGGTTGGCGTGCAGTCAACTCCCCGCTCCCACCCACTCCCCCATTTTAAGCTAATTTTTTTTTTTAAATAAAGGATATCTTCCCTCTCTTTGATGATGAGGACGTTCTGGTCCTCCAGTTGCCGGATCTTCCTCTCAAAGGCCTCCTGCTCGGCTTTCAGGCGCTCCTCCGTCACCTCTTTTTCCTCACTCACTCTGAAAAGATCGACACAACAAACAACACACACACACACATGCCATCAGAGCAATACCAGGCGCCACTAGAAGACGGATTTCGATCCGGACTAGCCGGAAGCAGCCCCTCTGCCTCACCACCCACCGCTCACGTTTTCCCGATTCCTCTTGCTTCTACTTGTCATACATAGAAGGGGGCCGATCAAGTAGTGATTGTGCTGCTGCTATCATGGAGGGAAAGAGAAAGAGAGAGGGACAGAGGGAGGGAGAGAGGGAGGGAGGGGAGAGAGACAGAAAGAGAGGGAGAGACTTGAGAGACAGAGAAAGTCAGAGAGAGAGAGGGAGATAGACAGAGAGAGGCAGAGAGAGAGAGGGAGAGGGGGGAGAGAGAGAGAGAAAGTCAGAGAGAGAGAGAGAGAGAGAGAGGGAGGGAGATAGAGAGACAGAGAGAAAGAGGCAGAGAGAGAGAGGTGGGGGGGAGAGAGAGAGAGAGAGAAAGAGAGAGAGGGGGGGGAGAGACTGAGAGACAGAGAAAGTCAGAGAGAG